AAAAATAATTGAGGTAATCCTAACTGACCTGAAACAGGAAGAGTTTAGTCTGATTTGTCAGACAGTGAGGGGGGAAAAAAAGGTGTTATGTCTTTTTAAACAGTTTATGTACACTTCTGGTTTCAACTGTAAATAAGTTAAAATCCAAATTTGAAGAGTTTAAGATCCACTTGTCAAAAAGTGTAAAAAAAATATATATAAGTAAATAAACAAAAAACATTACAAACTTGTTTATCTTCTCCCACTGCTGTCTACAAACTGTGTTTCAATGTTTTAGATGAAACAAAAAATGTCCTAATTTAAGAATTACAGTCATATGTCACAACGACACAAATTCGATCCAGCCACATGTGCAGAATGTAAAACGATAATCCTAACGTGCAGCTTCTAAAGCAAGGAAATCACACGAAAGAAAGATGGACATTATGAAACTTTCATTAAAATTCTTTAGCATTTAAACAAGCTCTAACAGTTATTATTCATAAATGAGATCTGGTTTAACTTGGAGCGTGCCGACTACAAAGCTGAGATCACTGATTCATCCTCGACCCCTGCTCCTCGTGTCATGTCACTTTCAGGTTTAATCATCCCGTCGGTTTTTTTTGGTGTCACACATCGCACAGACAGTCATTCAAATTTCACAACTTTCTGTGCCACAGAAAAACACCGTTTGTGCACACCTACAGGCTCGTACACTCCGCCGACGGCTGGTGTCTCCAGGTGGGTGAGCAGCTCCGAGCAGATCGGAAACAAACACACACACACACACACACACACACACACACACACATGCATGGCCGAGGAGGTTATTTACGGTTAGTGTATGTTTTTTTATTGCAGGATTTGAGAGTCAGACCTCAGAGGTTTAGGACCCTGGAAACACTCATAGAGACCTACAGAAGAGCTACAGCCTCTAATGTTGGTATAGTTCCCCTCACAGACCCACTGGACAAAAGTCAACTACAAAACAACTTGGGTACGACACACACATCCACACACACACACACACACACACACACACACACGGTTGGGCTACTTCATATGATACTTGTGCTGCTTTGTATAGTATAATACACTGTTGCCCTTAAAGTTGGAATAAAAAGTGTTTTCTTTATCTCCTCTCATGAAATGATTGTGACTCATTCTTGATAGATAAAGTTTATGTCTTCTCAAAACTTTATTGATATCACAATATACATACAAAACATATCGCAGTAAAAATTAAACCACAATTAACTTTTGCAAACTGTGTATTAAGGCTATAACTGAATTGGGGTGATAGAACAATAAGATTAAGGGTTTTGTTTCAAATTTTCAAGCTCGGTCAATTGAACAGGAAACACATGCATAAGAATGGCAAATATTACTCTTACAAATGTCACTCAGTCACTAATGTTGAGTCTGGCCACCCCTGACACAGATCAATGTGTTAAGACATTGTGGCAAACTGTCCACAAGCTTGTTGGTGGTGTCAATGAGCAGGACTTCCCCCGTTTTCGGTCACATCCAGAAGGCAGAATTCCTTTCACCTGGTCAAAAGTGATTACTCATGTGTATAAATAGAAATAAAAGGAGGAATGTGTCTGAATTATTCCAACTTTGTGAGCAACAGTATATAAGGTAATTTCCGCTGTGTCAACCTGTAAACACTTCCTCAAAAAATCTGCTAGCATAGCATACACTGTTCAGCCACAACACTAAAAACCACCTGCCGTATATTGTGTAGACGTCAAAACAGCTCCTATCTGTCGACAGGAAGCCTCTTGTGGTGATCTGTCATGTCAGTCACTGCGATATTTGTAGTGGGTCCTGTGGGTTGCACTGTGAGACCTCCGTGGATCCAGTTCCCACGGATGCTTCACTGGATTGAGATCTGGGGAGTTTGGAGGTCGGATTAACACCTTAGGCTCTTGGTCATGTTCCTCAAGCCATCACCCGAGCAGCTTTTTTTGCAGTGTGATGGGGTGTGTTGTCCTGAGGTTGAAGATTCCTGTTGTCCACTGGGTGGGAGGAGGTAACATCCACGTGGACCCAACGTTTCCTAGCCAAGCACTGCATCGCAACCAGACGATCATTGTTGTTTTCTTTACCTGTCTGTGGTTTTAAAGCTGTGACTGATCCGCTTAGACTTAAATCTGGTCATTGCACTCTCACCGACACAAAGACACACAGACACGCAGACATGGTTTGTGTTTGTGGTATGTCAAAGACTTCTTTTGCATTTCTGAACTGTCTTATTTGGCTCATGACCCACTCAGTCAACTGTAACCCACTTTCAATGCTCTCTACCACAGAGTTCGTCTACATGGAGGTGAACAGTGGCAGCTCAGTGTGTTGAGGCCTTTGTGTCGTCATGCAGGCGCCGGTAATCTGGCAGGAAAACGAGACGACAGAAACGTGCAGTATGTCATGCATGCCGCCTACAAACTTCTGGGGGACTTGAAAGTCAATGAAATGTGTTTAAATTAAGGAGTGTTTTGGTTACTGCTGTGTAAATACGATACACATCTCGGGTTTTATTTTCAGCCCACCTTTGTACGTGGTTTGTAATTGTTTTAATCTGTCTGTGAGAAAGTGTGCATTTGCCAGTTAACACACCAACAGCTTCCAGCCTTATGGACTCACTATGCAACACGTGCCCAACCGCCTGTATTCTCATGTTTTGTTTGATAAATAAAATCAATTTAACCATGTGTGGGTGAAGATCATTGATGTTGTTTGAGGTTTTTATGTTATTGATGTGTACAATCTAAGTGGTTTATCTGTGTGTTTGGACACCATGAAACAAAATGGCCTCTGACTGTAACAACATGGGAGTGCAGGGAAGGCAGATCACAAAAACTACTCTGACTTTGTATATTTATTCATTTTTTTCAAGACACATCTCTTCACAGTCACTGATGATACCAAATCTATAAGCTGATGTTCAGATCTGACCATGAACTCAGATCTCTGGTATCCGCTGTGCAGAGAAAGATAAAGGTAGAAGTAGTGTCTACTGTTTCCTGTGCCTTGAATGACCCCCCAGTTGGTCAGCCTGTTGGGTTTATCCTCACTCAGGCTTCACTCAGGCATTACAGTCAATCTGCCGGACACATAGTTTTTGATCAAAGTTTACGACAGCATCTACACTTCAGTCTTCTTCTTCTTCTTCTTTAAAACACTCTGAGACTCATAGAAGGGATTTCTTTAGTTGTGACTTTGATATAGTCGGTTTGGGAACTTGTTTGCTTTTTTGTGCACAACTAGATGAGAAGATGGATATAAACTGATTAACAATAAATAAATGCAGTCAGTTAGCTTAGCTTAGCACAAAGACCTGATACAGGAGGAATTGGTTAGCCTGATTTGGTTCGAAGACAACAAAATCCACTTAACAGCACCTCTTAAGCTCATTAATGAATGTGTTATATTTTGTCTTCAGTCCGTACCAAATCCAAACAGCAAAAACAGACATTAATGGCTATGTGTTAATTAGATTTAGAAGTGATTGTAAGCTTTGCAACCGTAAGGCTAGTCTCATACTCTGTCCCTCAACAAATACATGAGTGTTTGTTTGGGTCCGAGTGGCAAAAATTCACCATCAGATGATGCATGTGAAGCTCTGTGTAGATATCTGTGGCTGTTATGCTGCAAGGACATCAACTGTGACTGCAGTGGAATACATAGACTACCAACTCCTCTATTGGATGATTGACTAGAAAGTACAGCAACTAGCCAGGATTATTCTCCCTTGCAGACTTGCAAACAGTTGTCTAAAATCATACTACTTTGTATTCTGCTTGGAGGATGTGTTTCATACATGTACAGTAGATTGTCATCGACATATTTTGTCTGCATGCAACCTACTGCTGAACTTGCAGAGTACACAAATTGTGTGCAGTATACAGATGTCCACAGACTCTCGTGGACTTGACACATGAGAGTGGAATCAGCTCTGCTGTCTAACTTTCTGCAACAAATCGAATATTTCCTAAAGATTTTATGTTCTTCTTCTAGGCTGAGTCATCAATACTTCTATATATTTTATCAAGGCTGCTTAAGCAACCTGTTCTCACTGGACAACCCTCTGTATGCAGGAGTCCAGATGAACAAAGCGGAAAAAACAAGTTAAGAAGACAATCTGTTACCCAACTTTATTTCACAAATAGCCATGTACACACATTTTATAGATGCTCCAAATAATAATCTCACCAGTCACACCCCTTTAGTTAAACAAAATTAACTTGTTTGAGAGAGCTAGTCAATCAAAACATGCTAAAGCCAAATCCTTCTTAACATAACGATGAAAAAGTCACACAATGTGGACTAACTGGACCTGACAGCTGGACGTTAAGAGCATAAAAACATTTAATCACAGTTTGCAAATATAAATACACATCAACACACCCTTTGCATGCACTCAACACATCTATTCTAGCTCCTGAATAGAAACATACAGTATACGAAAGCCTGGCAGTGCAGACAGTTAAACTAAAGCGTTCCTAATGTGTCCGTCTTGTTTCGCTTTCAAAATGACTTTCCAGTGTTCTGCTCTGTCTCCTGCACCTCTGTGATCTCTTCCTCAGGCTTCGCTGGTGGTGCAGGGTGGAAGAACTGGAAACACAACAGAAGAGACAACCTTTGGAACCTTTCGTGTGCGAGTTGTTGGATGAGTGGCAAACGAGCGCGTACTTACATTAAATGCATCATTTTTCTCCAAGAAATGTTTGTACTTGGGCGGTGGACGAGGAATCGGCGGAAACAGAATCTGAGACACCCTGAAAAACACACAAAATGAGCCTTCAGCAAGACTCTTAATAGACTATTTGAAGCTCTTCCGCTGTCTGCTGCACTCGATAAAATAATAGTTCATATATGTATTATTTTTATAAATGTGAAAGAAGCGAAGAAAGGAGGAAGGAAGTCCATCTGTCGTTTATCTTTTATTGCATTTTCTCTCATGTGGTGTTCCCCCTCCACAATGTATGCAGGAGGACTTCTGTGTGCAGCTTAAGGAAGCTTAGGGTGGCTGCTCTTGTGGCTTTTCAGAGAAAAAAGCACCTCCACAGTCCTCTCACTTCTTCTTTGTTTTCTTTGCTTTTGCTGACTTCTGGGTCCACCTTGCCCCCACATTGGCTCACATTTGAAAACCAGGACAGCGTTTATGCATCAGTTCAGAAACAACTCACCAAGGAGGATAAAAAAATTTACAAATTTCAAAAAGCAAGTTTGAAGAGCGGTAGGATGTGTGTAAAGGGGCTGTGAGTGAGTGTCACTGTGTGGCAGTCATGCAGGTTGGCCATTCAGTCAGAAAAAGACAACTTGTACCTCTGATTGCGCACCAACAGCAGCACAGCCAGGAGGATCATGGGAACTCCGAGTGAAATCGAGATGATCACTACAGGGTTGAGTTTGTAAACCGACTGTTCTACCGCTGCAAACACACAGACGCACAAAAAAGCCGATAATTGTACTGCGGTTGTTGCTTTTATAAGTAGTCAATCGTCCAGGCACTAACCTTTGAATCAGTGGATGAGGATGACAAGCTTACTTTAAAAAAATTTTAAAAAGCACTCACTGACAGTGGGACTCCAGGCACTCCACTCAGAAGATCCATGACACGTGTCTCCCACTATTGTCCTGATTCTCACTTTGTAGGTGCGGCTGGGATCTGCATTTGGCTCCCTAAAGGACTTATTGGCAGTGACAATTATGGGTTTTTCCTGTTTCAAAAAGATTAATCAGTAAACTCTCACTTTATGGACTTGGTTCCCTTTTGAATCTTGCCAGGTTTGTCTTGTTCAATATTTCTGTTGATTTGTCAGTTACCAGAAAGCAACACGGTAAACGGTGTGTATTATTTTTGAAATAACCAGCACCCACAGACATACTGTACCTTACTACTCATGTCCAGCTGATAGTTAAAACATCGGGTCGGGTTTATGTTTGATCGGGGGTGGGGCGCATCCCATGTTATGTCAAGGCCTCCATCTTTGATTGATGCAGAGATGTTCTGGGGTGGAGACAGAACCTCTGTGAAACACAGAACCACACATTTTATTTTATTTTTTTTTTACAAAATACAACCTAAATCTACACATAAGGCACTGGACACCGCTTATGTCGGTCTCTTTAGTCCCTCCTCCTGTACTCTACTGTGGCTCTGATGGAGATGAGCACTACCGGTGCTGACTTACTACATGATTCAAATCCTTGACTTAAACATGCTGCTGCTTAGAGGTTGTTGTTGTTGTTTTCTGTAGTAAAGAAAACAGTAACACAGATAAAGGAAGGGAAGAAGAAAGCCACCTGAAATGAGCGACCAACGGCAGATTTATACCCACAGTCTACATCCTGTTATAATTAATGATGTTTCGAGCTATCATGTATTCTGAATCTGTATTTCTGCACTGAACTTATGATCCTGTTTTGTTTTTTTCCACTGAGCACAGTGCACGTCCTTGAAAATAACATGGCCGGTGAGAACTGGGTCACATACTGGGAGACAACGGAAACTCCTCTTTTCTATCAGTTGCTTTAGATACACATCTTTTGGACAACACACACACACACACTTTGTATTTGATTCAAGCAGTTTCTGTTTACATTTCAGTGAACTTCCACATGAACAGTGGTTCGCCTGTTCACGTCACAGTAACTGACCAAATAAACTCGTACAAGTCCAACGTCTGACTGTACTGTACGGGGCAGTCCCAGCCCAGGAAGATATCTGTAACCTGAACCCAGAAGAACTCAGTTCAGCTGGACATGGGATTACTCTCTGAATCCAGCGCTGCCTCACTTTACCTGTGACCTAAATAAATTCAACATCTGAGAACTGAAGATTTCTCCGGTTTGTTCTTGGGCTTCCAGCTAAACAATCCAGTGAGTCAGACTACTGCATCTTGAATCTGAATGCCTCCTTTGTTACTGGTACTGGTCAGAGGTGAAAAATTCTGTGGGTGAAATTATCAGGTTGTGTTGTTAGCTATTGCTTAAGTTATTGAAAAGGTTGATACCTACTCTCTCTCTCTCTCTCTCTCTCTCTCTCTCTCTCTCTCTCTCTTTTTCTTTTTTAATCAGATATGTAGTATTATCAGTTGCAACTACTCAACAAAAACTCTGTAACCGTGTTTGTCTTGGAGTGTTACCTAGCATGTCCATGTCGTATACGTAGGTGTACGTTTTCCACTCTTCGTGCCGGGACATGTTAAAGTGAAGGATTACATCTGACACCTCATGCTTGCCAACATTCAAAGACATTGACCCGACTCTTTCCACAGACGTCTGGTTTAGAGACTGAACCGCTGTGTCTTCATCACAAACACTGGGGAGAGAGAGAAGGAGATACACACTCAAAATAATGCTTACATTTGAATGTAGCCCTTTGGTAGACGCGCTTGTTTTAGCTTATGTTTGAAGTTTTCCGCTTTTATTGCTTTTCAGCATTGAATCAATTTAATTGGACTTTTTGACAAGATTTTAGCAAAAAACAAAAAAAGGACTCTTGAGATGGGAGAGACTATGTTTACAATAATAGCTGCCTGTTCTTCACAAGTCAAAGCTTTATAGGAGAGAGGAAAGACATGGGAGAAAGCTTATAGTGTTTTTGGCCTTCAGACTAGCTGCTATATGTGGCAGACACCAAACACTGCGCATATTCACAAACACACTTTCCCTACTGGGAAGCATGGTGGTGGCAGCATCATGA